TATTTTTTTCTGTTTCTTCGTGGGGTCGTGTATGCCGGGGTTTGAGACCACGGGCTCCCAATCTTTCTTTTTCAGAGCTAATGTGAGAAACAACAACATGTCCGGAGGTGTCGCAACCCCCCCCTCCCCTGTGATTTAAGACTTTGTAGATAAAGGGTATGCAGCTGTTGTTCCGTGCCCCAGCAGCAATTTTGAGCAGTCGAGAGAGGCTGTGGGTGAAATCGAGCACAATGAGAGAGAGGCAGAGAGAGATACGTGCAGCAACTAACTGGTGGTGTGATGACGGTGGCTTATGTAACGTGTGCGCCTATGTTGTGTGGTNTGGTGTGATGACGATGCCTTATGTAACGTGTGCGCCTATGTTGTGTGGTTGTACCTGTTGATGCCCATGGGTGGAGGAGAGGGTAGATCGACGCTGCTCTGCGGTTCCTAACGGGAGCACAGACACACAGGTAGCAGCTAGGAACTGCTGGTGTAGTAATACACAACTATTGGTGCTGGCTGGCAAGCCGTGGTGGTGCTTGGTAGCAACGGTCTCTAGTAGTAGTAATAGTGATGATGCAGCCCAACAGCATGCTCTTGTGTATTTGTATGGGTCGCCTGCTGTGTTGCTAATTACTACTGCTGTGCCGTGTGTATGGAGTGTGTAGTGCTGTGTTGTACTTTGGCGTTTTGGTTCTCCGGGGACACGCCTCCCGCAGCCCAGGGCACAAAGAAGCGAGGCTAAACGAGATATATGTCCGGAAGTTGTTGCCCCCTCCCCCCCCCAGGTTGAAGATTTTTAAAACCTAGGATTGGCGGGGGCTCCGACCCACGTGCGGTGCGATTACAGCAACAATCAACAGTTAGTTACAGATCCTATGCTACACACACAGGAATTGATACGCACACAGCTTCTGTGAGTACAAACGTGTGCACCAGCTCCAGGACCAGCATCAGAAGTACAGTAGATAAAGTCTCCTCTGCAGGTGGTTTCATGGGTAGTCAGTCGTGGAACTCGTTGTACGCTCACACATGGAGGTGACAGCAGATAGATCTCTTGCGCGCGATCTGTCTGCTGGGTTGACGTCACTCACCCGTTGGCTGCCGCAGCTACATACAGATGTACACACAGGGAGAGATGCACACACAAAGCTCTGTCAGCTACAAGNCTCGTTGTACGCTCACACATGGAGGTGACAGCAGATAGATCTCTTGCGCGCGATCTGTCTGCTGGGTTGACGTCACTCACCCGTTGGCTGCCGCAGCTACATACAGATGCACACACAGGGAGAGATGCACACACACAGCTCTGTCAGCTACAAACGTGTGCACCT